TTAAATCTGGCAGTTCACAATAATGGCATCAAAAATATTTATGGGTTGTCTGCCCGAACTCTTAGAAAGAATCTTTAGTAATTTTTATGATTACGATGGTGAATCTATTATAATAGACTATCGTTCCTTATACTCTTGCGCTTTAGTGAACTGGCATTGTTGTAGAGTATCGATTCCTCTTCTTTGGAAAGATACATTTTCATATACAAAGAACCTAAAGTTCATGTCTATTTATCTTTCTTTTCTTAATGAAGAAGATAAAAGCAAATTAAAAGAATATGGAATAATTGTCGATTATTCTGATACTCTTTTTGATTATCCAAAATTTTTAAAGTACCTTGATTTGCATTATTTCGCCTATGCTATTAGAATATGGACACCAGATCACATCAGCTTTAATTTGCTCACTTACTTAATATATACAGTTCGTAATTTTGGGAATAAAGAAAACCATATTGAGGATGCAAAAAAAAATTTAACCAATTTATTGCTCAAATTATTTGTTGAAAATGGTACTATATTATCTAAATTTAGTGTCACTGATTCAGAATTTCAGGTCAAACCAGGAATTTTTCAATTATTAAAGCAAAGCGAACTTTTTTTCACTCGACTTCAAGAAGTATTAATTTATGTTTATCATGGAAAATTTTCCGTAGAAATCAGCACGTTATCAAGAATTTTGGCAGAAGTTGCTACAAATATTCATACTTTACAACTGGCAGAGATTGGTTATTATGATGTTTCTGATCCAGAAACACTTCATATGCTTGCAAATTTAATCGAATCACAACGACAACTTAGAAAGCTTGAACTTTTTTATAAAGGAACATTGAAAGGTGTTATCTCAGCTTTAAAAAGTCAAGAAAAATCATTACGAGAACTTAAAATAACTGGTCAATATACCCCAGAGTATATAGTATTAAATAATTGTGAAAAGTTAGAAGTTCTCAGAATCGGAAACCACGAAGCGCTACCTCTATTAAATCAATTAGCTGATGGTTTTTGTAAAATAAGCACTTTGGATCTAAGTGATGTAGAGTTTAATGTATCAGATGTAACTCCATTACTAAAGAAGTCAGGAACACTTTTACAACGGTTGAGATTTAATCCATTACTTATTCCATTAAATGGAAATTCACAATTGACATTACTAGAAACGCTTAGAGATTTTTGTCCAAATCTTTTATTTTTTGATATATATTGCTTCGGATTACCTATCCAATTATTGGAGCTTATCGAAAATTTAAAAATGTTGCAATTTTTTTTTCTAGGATGTGCAAGTGTTGAATCGAAAGAAGTTACAGAATCACAGATTATAGAATTTGCTAAAGTTTTACCATCAACATTACGGTATTTTGAGTGGTATTATCTTGAATGGAAAGGATATTTCTTTGATTCGTATTTGCATTCATCTGATTTATCTGATCCATATATTGATATTATACTCAAGCATTGTGATGCTCCTTTGGAAAAGTTAGTTTTCAATAAAATTAATAATGAAATAGCTGATTCCATAATCGAATTTTGCAAAAGAAGGAGGACTTTAAAATATATTAGTGAGAGGAGGAGATCTGAAGAAATTTGGGAAAATTTGGAAAAATATGTTGACTATCAATGCATAGAAGTTAGTTGCTAGTTACATGTATTATCGTTATGCAGTTATGTAATTTCCTTTTGTAGTTTGCGTTACAGGCATAAATACTGAAATAAATAAATCTTATCTGGGTTTGATCTTTACTGTATATTGTAATACTTTCAAAACCACAAACATCAGAAGTTGGTATAAACCTTTGATCTGATAAAACTTCTGAAGTAACATAAAATGTGGCACATAAATACCAGCTATATTGCTTTACAGCATTAAAATGCTATTAATTAATTAATCATCTGTTTTGTTTTGAGTCAATTCAACCTATATATGAGGGAAAACCTGTCATTGGGCTTTCAATTATATTTTGTACCGAACATATTCTCTAATAAATTAAATAGATTACGTCCCGTACAAAATATCATTGATAGCCTGATGACAGGTTTCCTCTTGGCGCTTGGAGGCACTCATATGATTCCAAATATTATAATTTACATAAATCATTAGTTAAAATATGTTTAATAAACTGTGAATGAATGATGTCCAACTTACTTTCAACAAATCATGAAAATGTTCTTTGGAACCCTATAAGGTCATGGGTACAACGGTACTAGAGAATAAAATGAAATTAACCAGTAAATATTCATGCCAGCTTTTTTTTCAAATGCTAATATTTGAAAATGTTCTTAATACTTTTCGATTAAAATTAGTGAAAATTAAATCGTAAATGTTAATGATTTGGATATATACTTCAGTACTTAAATTAATAAAGGATCATTATTAAGTAGTAAATATTCATGAATTTAAATACAGTATTAAATACCTAGATCATTATACCTACTTATTAACACTAAGAGCATTCTCAAATAAAAAACCACCTAGTTTTGAGTTTTAAGAAAAATATGATTAAAAATTGTATTACATGAAATTTCGAATTTTTTTGATTAGTAGGTACTGTATATACTGTATCTTTATATTACAAAATTTTTACACGAACAAGATCACATGCTTGAATTTTAATTCTCCAGTTAAATGATAATCTTGATTTTTTAAATCTAAAATCCCAATCTTTTATTATTAAGCTAGCGTATAATAAAGATTGTGTACTGCACATAAATAAGAACCGGCACTCTAACGCGAATTAAAATACCAAATGATAGTTTTCTAAATACCTCTAATTAGTCAAAGATGAATTATTATTTCGTTGTGGAGATACAGGGTATTTTCAAACATCATCTCTGGCTGACGATCGAGATTATGCGTGACAACTTTATGAATTATTATTTCGTTGTGGAGATACAGGGTATTTTCAAACATCATCTTTGGCTGACGATCGAGATTATGCGTGACAACTTTATGAGATAAACTATTTTCTATGATATAAATAATACTGTAATTAAAAAATTAATCAGATATATAAATTTAGGTGCTTGAGAAAAAATCTTTTTTTTTTAGAATTACTCTGGTTAAAAAAATTTGAAATTCACATTCTGAACACAATAATGAGTATTTCAATTATTAGAAAATATATTAAGAGAGCTGCTTGAGAAACCCCTAAATATATGTAAAAAAAAGCAATTTTAAGTCATGTTTATTATAAAATATATAATTTCGAAATTGGCCTAAATTAAGCTTAATTCGGGCCATACTCGCTATTAATTTATATGTACAGTATACAATTTTTTGCAAAATTCTTTTTATATATTACGTGCAAGCATAACATAAAATACAAAATATTTGTTTATTTTGTATATCAAACTCGAGCCATGAATATTCGTTTTTTCAACTTTAAAATAGTTATTAATACAGCATAATTAATTGACTTAGATGTTTTGTAACATTTACTGTTGTCTATACTTGTTTTTTTTTTACTTAACAGTTTTTAAGAATTTAATGACTAATAAATAGTAGTAAAATACAAGATTTTAATTGGTCAATTATTGTAATAGTTGATTTAAATACAATCTAATACGTACTGTATATCAAAAAAAAAAAACAATAGGCATCGGAATAGTGAATAGCCAATAAATAAGTAAATATTTTCTGCTTTGGTAAATATTCAAATACTCAATTGGTTTGATATTTGATTTGTGTACATATGAAATTAACAATTATTCACCCTAATATATTTGTATATTTTTTAATAAAGTTGATTTTCGGATTATCCTAAATAAAAAGATTTGTTTTTGGATATCTAAATTGTCCCAAATTATCCCAAATTATCCTATATTTTTACTAATGTGAAAGTACTACGTAACGATTGACGTAAATACACTTTTGGAACACACTTTGCTTCAAGCTGCAGATCTACAACGTAGTTTATTATCAGTAAAGTAAGTCATGTTATATTTCAGTCATGGGATAATTATGGTTGGTCATTATTAATAGTGGTGTGAGCGCAATGCCGTAATTGGTCGTATTATTGTTTTTTTTACAAATTCAATTCGTCTCGATAAGACGAATCGAATGGTATCCAAATCATCCAATTCGGGTTACTGGGTCACAAGATATTCACGAAAGACTATTTAATGAATTGCGGCATTTTTGCTGTAACCCAGTGATCCGAATTGGATTATTTTGATACTGGATTATGGATCACAATCTAATTGAGTTTTTGTGAAAAAATTATGACCAATTACAGCATTGCGCTCACATCACTAGTTATTAATATAAAGAAAATTGGGTGTTAACACAAAGCGTTCGAATATTTAAGCAAATTAGATGAATTTTTTTATTTTAACTCTACAAAACTATAGAATTATTGTTCAGTACTTTATTCTCAAGAGAATAAAAATTTTGCTAAGACTTTAAAATAAAAAAAAGTTCATTGAATTCTCTCGAAATATCTTCACTCAAAGTTTTAAAATATTTTATCCTTGCTTCTTTTTATAGATGATCCAATTCTTCATCCAACTTTGAATGAAGATATCTCGGCAACCATTTAAGCAAATTGGATGAACCTTTTTTTATTTTAATCCTACACGGCTATAGAATTAAAATAAAAAAAAAGTTCGTTGAAATTTCTTAAGTAGTTTCTGAGATATCTTCACTCAAAGTTTTATTCCTGCTTCTTTTTCATAAGCATTTTAATTCTTCACCCAACTTTGAATGAAGATATCTCTGCAACTATCTAAGCAAATTCGATGAATTTTTTAATTTAAATCTACGAGTTTGTATAACTATTAAAATAAAAAAAAGTTCATTGAATTTCTTAAGTAATTTCTGAGACATCTTCGTTCAAAGTTCTAAAAAATCAATTTTTATGAAATTAAATAGATACGTAGGGTTACACAAAACCGATCGATCCGATCTTCCGAGGTGTTCGATCGAGCCTTGTGTCATATGATCACACCTGGTTTTAGACGACCTCCCAATCTGGCAGGATTTTTTTTGCTAATAACGAGCGCTTAAAATGAATACAGGTGTTATTTCTCCAGAACAAGCACCATCCTCTACGAAGTTTCCTTTACAAACAAAACAAGCAGCGCGAGTGATCAATGGTATACATACTGAAACATTAATTACGGGTTTTCGAGATAAAATTCTTGTAATAATTACACAATACGGGAAAGTCGGAAGTTTGGTAAACGAGATAATATTTTTTATTTATGGATAAATGATAATCGATTCTAATTATCATTAATATAGCACTGAAACATTTGTAGGCTTATGTAACATTCGACTCAGTTTCCTCAAAGTCGCTGTCGTCGTTCTCTACGAGCGTTGCCACTAACGTTAACTTTTTACTTGGTGGATTTTCTTCTTTATATCAATTGTATGCATTACATATTGCTACTATAATAGCAAACGAGAATCCAAATGATGGACGGTCCGTGGTGATAGGGTTAGCACTAAAGAATGCTGTTAATAGTGAAGACGTTGATAATAAAGAACTAATTAATTGCATTGAATTGATGGTAAGGGAGTGTAAGGT